GCTGATGATACACATTTATCTTGTTCAGGTGGTGGTATTAGGGTTAATCGTGAAATAAAACTGAATTTAAATGGTGCTGAAATTGAAAGAATGTATGGAAAAAAAAAATTCTGGGACTGATTATAAGTCCTACCTTAAAGAGTGCCCAGGAGGTGAAATGGCACCTCTCCAGCAACCAGTCCACACTCCATTCTCGAGTGACCCTCCAGTTCCCAAGCCAAGTCCTAATGGTCTGAGCTACTGCCACTCCAAATGGTGCACTTTGATCAACCTCTGTCATCAAGATTTTGATCATGAGAAACTCCATGAAGGGAAACTTACATATGCAGTTTTATGTAAAATAAAGGTCTGGTCCAGGAGTAACATTACACTCACATCTGGTCTGTCATTAGGACGGTATTTCATCTCATCGTTTAATTCAGTTATTCAGTATATGAAACTGCTGACTAGGTGTGCTACACTCATCACTGCACAGACTTTTTGCCAGTGGAAAAGAAAAATGCTGTTGTTGATTGACAACTGATGAGTGATAAGAGATGATAGAGAGGTCTCAGGCCTCCTCCACACAGACACAGGCATTTTTGAAAATGGGGTTTTTCTCCTCTGTTCTCTAAGAAATTCCTCTCCACACGAGCACTTTTACATTATCACGTAAAAAGACATTTTCACAGTAGACATTTTCACGTCATAGTAGGAAAAGCACACCAGTGTTGGGAGGGATACTTTTAAACATATACCACTACTGATAACTGAATACATAATTTTTTAAAACTATTTTTGGGAAATTAGTGACACATATACATTTTATTCCATGTCTTCACTGAATCAGTTAAATATGCACATCTGTTAAGTCTTGTAAGCAAACCACGCATGCTACCCATCGGCTGTGCGCTCATCTGGAGACGTAATTGCTTGAAGGATAGGTAAGTACTTTATATCTTCCTATGTTTGTATTTTTTCAACAGAAAACACTTGTTTTATACTGTGATATTTACTGTAAATGACACATAATATAGCCAACAGCAAGCAGGCTTTAAAAGTGATTGTCTTTTATCAGAAACTTTCAGCTCCCTGGTGATCTCTCTCCAGCTAGCTGCCATCTTAATTAGGTTTTTGTGTTGAAATAATACAAGCAGGGTCGTAAATATAGACAGTGCAGGCAGTGCAGTTACACAGGTGGGGGGGTCCATGAAGGGTATGGGCCCACTGACAATGTGTTGGATGGAGAATGGGCCCTTATGAGTGATTGCCACCTTTGAAATCTGCCTGTTATTAAAGAAACAAATTAAAACAGTGCCATTTGCTATATGTGTCCTTGATAAGGGCAAACCCAAATTGTTAAATTAAAGTGATCATTTTTAATTTTCTCTCGCATTTTTTTGTGATATACAGATATGCGATTATTTACGCCCCTGAGCCAATACACACAGCCTATTTTACAAAATGTTAAACAGTTCTTCAGAACCAAATGTGTTTTCAGTGGAGAAATCTTTAAAGCGTAGATGTAGGTTTCCTATGAGGGGAAAATGACTCAAGCTATCACCATTATGAGTTTCATAACAGCGTTTTATCATCTGTGTTAAAAGGAGGTGCCGGTAGATAACTCCTCATTTCAACTTCATGAATCAGCCTTTCTTCATCCATTGCAAAACTTTGAGTGACAGGAATGAAAAGACACAGGGCAACTGACAAAAGCTGAAGTTGCACTGCATCACTGGCAGCCAGGTAGAACATTACAATAGGAAACAATGTGATCAAACTGACATTTGACACTGACACGGTGTTCAAGCAAGTAAAACAAATAAATAAAGTCATCCCTTTTTAAAAGTTTAGAGGAAATCATGGTATCATGCATGCTGGCTCGCTGGAATAGCTCACTGTCACACTTTATGGGACTGAGTCATCTTTAATGTTATCTGTTGTGGAAATTCTCTGCTGCTGGTGAATAATGAAATAGAGACTTCTGCCACCCGACAAGGTTTTTTTATTTTCTTTGCAAAGAAAAGGTCAGTCATCACATGAGTGGTCAGAATGAAGAAAGACCCCGAACATAGGAAAGCCTAAACATTTATACCTGAGGAACGCCTCTTACGGTGTGTTTCACACCCTTGTGTCTGTGGCAGGGAGCAGCGCCCCTACCCATTGTTTTCAAACTCTTTCGTCTGCTGCAGCTATTGGCTCCGACCCCCTAGGGTGTGTTTCACACCTGGCGTATCCTGCAGGATTTTGTATCTAGGTGTGAGGTTAAGATGTCTAGACATTCTGAAGTATTTGAAAACACAAAGAATACACAAAGAATACTGAAATTACAATTACATATCACTTTCACTTTTGCTTCTCCTACTATGACGAGTCCAAATATCTGCTGTGGTAAAGGTCCATGTAGCCGGTGTTCTCGTCAGCCCACTCTCAGAGGCCAATACAGTGGTGTAGGATAGTGATAATTGGCCCTAGTGCCACTAAAATAGTAAAGTCATTAAAGTAAAATATCATGTCATTGCATGGTCAAAAAGAGACTTAACACTGGACAGCATCAACATACGTATTACTCAGCAACTGCATATCTGTACCAAACGGAAAAGTGAAGTCAATGTGGAAGTGCTAAAAACTGCAGTTCCCCTGAAGTCCACTTGAGCTGTAGCTAATTTCAACATTCTTGACAACTGTACAGGGGGTGAATTTTCATATAGGCTAACTCACCTGTTTACATTTTATTGAGTCTTAAAGCGGACTGTCTGACAGGCTGTAAGCTGACAGTGTCCTCGGCTTCTCAGTCAGATCAAACCCTTGCTCCTCCACAGCTCCAGCCCCTCGCCCAAATAAAATTAAGATAAGATAAACTTTATTGTCCCAAGAGGGAAATTTGTTTTGGGCACATAGTGCAACACAGCTGCATAGCAGGTACAACCATCATATACAAACAAGACACACAGTTGACATCCATAGTATGCTAGGCGCAGATTTGAGTAATGTACTGCTGGATGAAATAAATACATCAACTTTATCATATCAGGTAAGACTAAAAGAATAAAAGCTCCTTAACTGTACATTCACACCAAAAGCTGCCAGAGCTGCAAAATAGCTGAATTCGCTCTAGCAGCGCTGCTGGTAAAATATGTGTGGCAGTGAAAGCAGCTCAAGTCGCTCATGACGTCAAATTCTGAACGTTTGATTATGCTTCTCAATTTAAAGGAGCTGCAAAGCAGGTTACATGCTGGAGCACAGAAATGTGACTTGGTGCATTTGCCTGAGTACAGAAACTTTCCTGTTTGGACAATGAAAACAGGATAAAAATTCTAAATAGGTCTGACATTAAACATTAAACACACACAGCCTGTGTTGCGTTCAGGCCTTGTCACATAAATAACAAATTCCAGTACTTGAATACACCGTAGCACAACACAGCAGCATGTCAAGTGGGCTGAACCCGAACTGAATATGAGCAACATTTTTTTATTTGTTAGTCCCCCCCAAAGCTGTAAACCTAGGGGAAACACTGTCAGTGGTTTGGGTTCGAGTGCCTACAGTGAGATTAGTTAAACTACTAATAACAAGCGTTCCAGAACACAAAGAAATTGTATTGTGTATCGATACAACATGGAAGAAGACACTCTTGTAATTTGTGCTGCAGTGTGGTACCTGCGCCGCCGTCGGGTCTGGGTTCATAATATCCTCCAGGGCCGTGAACAGCATGGGGAATATCATCGGCTGGTGCGGGAGCTGTTGCTGGATGGGGAGAGGTTCCAGCGCTACTTCAGGCTGAACATATCAGTCTGACAGCATGCTGCTTGTTTTGAAGTAGGAACGAATGTGTGGTAGGAACTAAAGTTTCCGAGGGTGTTCTCTGGGTTCCACACAAGCGATGGACATCTACTTTATGACTGGTTGCTGGTCATTTGCAGGTCAAATGCGCCATAGCTAATTTGCATAAAGTTAACCAGTCCTCAGCTTTCATTTGCAGCTCAATTCGCCGAACGCCGCCGCTCATCTCTTTTGCAGCTCAAAACGCTTCTGGTCGCAACTATCCATTGAAAATGAATTAGACCTGATGCCTTTGCAGCTCTGGAAACTTTTGGTGTGAACGTACAGTAAGGTTGCACTAGCCCAGGAGGTATTCATAAAAAGTGCAATAAAAAACCTGTAGTATAAATGTTAAATTAAACTGTCGCAAATAAAAACTAAAGTGCTGCTCTGCCAGGGAGACACCACAGGGCCAGCAGATGAAGAGAGTGGCATAACCACGGGAACATTACAAAAAAAAAAAACGGTTCGTTCTGGCTCCAAAAGACTGATGATGCCGAAATATTGCTTCAAAACGTGAGTCCACAAACCAATGGGAGACGTTACAGTTGCAATGTCCGTTATTTTCAGTCTACTATCTGTACATGACAAAAATATAACAGAAAGTAAGAGATGACTTCTTTAATTGAAAGTTTGTTTTATAGTTTATGTAGATTAAGTGTGTAACTTGTTAGTTTCAAGGCAACTAGTAAAATGTAATATATGACATTTTGAGAATAATTTGTCCAACCCTTTCGATCATAGTTGTATTTCTGAGGCAATATTGAAACACTTGCATGTGCCTGTTCTTCTCCCAACTTTCTACAGCCCCCCACCCCACGGGCCCCAGTGCCCCTGTCTGCACTGTCCATATTTACGCCCCTGAGCCTGTTTCCCAAAGTGTTGAACAGTTTCAGTGCATAATTCCTTTAAAGCATAACTGTGGGGGTAAAAAGTCTGTAGCTGTCACCATTATGAGTTTCATATCAGCACTTTATCACCTGTGTTCACGCCTGTATCACTCTCCTGGCGGGAGCAGGCCTCCACAGTGATTTCGTTAACAGCTCATACCTGTTGCACATACAATCAGGTAGAGCGCAGACCACACAGGGGAAGGNGGGGGGGGGGGGGGGGGGGGGGCGGCTCCCGGGGGCGTTTCCAGCCAATCAGCGTGCCGGGATCGGGACAGCGGCTTTCACCGTGCCAGCTGAGCCGCAGGTCAGAGACCGAGCAGCTTTCTTTGGAGTTTTCAGACCAGACAGCGAGGAAAAGTTTGCGGACCTGCGGGCGGCTCCTGTCAGCGGCAGCAGCTCCGTGTCTCACCCAGCCTGTGCGGAGGTTTCCTGCGGGTGAGAGGCTGTACAATCCTCGGCAGTGTTCTGAGACTGTACGGCCCCGATCCCCTTCAGCCCGGCCGGTCACACTCTGTCTGCTTTCATGGACTAAGCAACACGTTTATTGACATGATCTAACAGAGGGCGTCTGACCTGCGCACGTCGATGTGACAAACTTTTTCGACTCTCAAGTTGGACTTAACTCAGACTGTCGGGGAATTACACCACAGCAGACACCATGACGGCCGATAAGGAGAAGAAAAGGTAAGACATTTAATTTCTTCCTTCCTTCCTGTGCTTTTAATTTCCCCCTGGTTATGACTTTATTAATCCGCAGTGTGCAGATGACAGCCTGTGTTTATTCAGTGCACAAATTGCCTGACAGTTGGCTACTGTTGTGTGACACAGAGACCTGTTGCTGCAGGGCTGCTGCTGCTGCTGCATGTGACCTGGCCTGCATTTCAGCTCTGATAGTGGTTGTTATAAATCACAGTCACAGTCAGTGGCTTCATGAGGCGTTTATAAAAAGCTTTGTGACAATGTTAATGTGTTTTCAATGCAATCATGGCCCTTGGGTTGGGATTGGACTCATCTAAGGTGGTAAGTGGGTGATCTGATTTAGTCTGCACTTGACATGAGGTTTAGTCTGCTGCAGGGTGTCACTGTAATAAACCAGGTTTAATTCTGATTTTGGACGCTTTTAAAGGCCTTTACAACTTGTTTTTAATGAGTAAAAACATGCAAAATCTAAACAGGTGGACTATGTCCCATCATTGATCCATCAGATTCAATATATTTGCTCATCTATGGATAAACAGAGCTCCTCCTGGGGTGTCTTTTTCCACACTATACTGCCCTGTCAGACATTAGCTTTTGCTGATCACAGGCGTGCAGTTTTGTGGACATGTAGCTCAGCAGTGGCTCAGGGGCACAAAGCGCAACACTTTTGGTGGTTCCTCGACATAAAGCTTCAGTTTCCTGCAAAGCCACAGATGACACTTCACCTCTGCAGAGAGGATGCTTCGCAGACAGTTAAAATACCACAACAGCAGTCGCCTTGTGTCGAGTGATAACTGTGGTAATAATAGAAATGCCTACATAAAGTTGCAGCCTGTCAAGTCAAAGCATGTCTATAGTTTTTTTCCGCTAAACTTCTCCTTCAAAACAGAGTCCAAGTGTTTAACCTCTGACCTCCTTTCAGGGACGATCAGTAATTAGTCATAGGCTGGTGAGGAAATTTCCAGAACTGCAGGTATCCTGTAGAAGCTGTCAGTTTGCTTTCCTGTGCCGGGCGCCACTTTGCTAGGTTTTAAAAATATATATTTCGGGCAACATTCATGCAACCACCTCATTTTTTATCATCTGCTTAGTCACCTAACAACCCAGATCATGTTTGATTGTGAAACCAGTTTGTCACACATTGACTGACATCATTGTACTCTGCCATAAGACACCTGGGAAAAAGAAATCCTTCAAGAAGCCGCTTAATCATTGAGCATCTAATGGGATTTCTATATTTGTACATATTTATGTGTATGTTTCCCCTTTTGAAAAGCTTGTTTATTGTGTCATCAGTGTGTCTTCCTGCAAGTCCTGCCCTGCTTTTTGGTTGTTAATCGTGCCCTAGTAGTGATGAGGTCATGGGCCTAATCTTACAAAATATACTGGTTCCAGCTTGTCCCGGTCTGTGTCACCATAACAGCTACTTAATAATGCCTGGTAAAGAGAGAGTCAACATGTTACCTGTGGAAAACCCTCAATTTAATCAGCTCTCAGAAAGGTGTTTAATTTGAGACATATAAGAAAAGCAAATGGGACATTTAATTGAGAGATTCTGAGATATTACAAGAGAACAATTTGTCTACTTCGCCACCACCGGACCATTGATTTGAATCGGCAGAGGGTTTGGGTTTGCGTGATGCCGTCTTGTCTGTCCAGTCCACCCTTGTGACTCTCTCCTCTCCGCCTCTTACCTAACAGTAGTTATCAAACAGGCCCCAAAAATGAACAGAGCAGGTATTAAGACAGAGGACAGAGACACTGGACTCTCTGTCATCGGGGGATAAAAGGGAGAAAATAACATTAACAGACAGAGAGTGAGACGAGTCCAGGAGCGTTTCCTCTGGCTTGTCGACGCCTTCCACCAGAGAGCTATCGGCCATCTTAGGGAAGGAGACCTGCAAGTGTGTCTCTGTCAGGCTGCAGATGAAAAGCGTCTCTGTGTGTATGTGTGTGTGTATGTGTGTGTGTGTGTGTGTGTGTGTGTGTGTGTGTGTGTGTGTGTGAGTTCACAAGTGTCCGTCTCCTCATTGATGTGTTTTTCTCTCTCTCAGTGTTTGTATTACACAGTAGCACATTGTCGCTGCTGCTGCCTGGAAGTAATAACTGCTCTGATAAGTTGTATGATTCATGGCGGCTGCCTGGCAGACACTCAGTGTTTAGTTGGGATGCATTTTTTCAGATTAGTTTTATTAATTTAACTCCCGATGACGTGAGAGGATGAACTCCATGGAATGTTTTTGTGTGATTGTCCACTTACTGTCACACTGGTAAAAAGTCAACTTTGGTTTTTGACTATAATTCCTGTCAAAATCTCTCTCAACAAAAATATGTTATATAATGAATAGCACACAATTTAGCACACACACACACACACACACACAATATTTTGGCACTTTAAGGACTCGGTACCATCGAGACACCTTGACACACAATAATAAGGGGCAAGGGATGGTGATATTTCCAACATTGAATCCCATATTTTCTACATAACACCCCCTCAGAGCGCATCACACCGTGGTCACTTATCACAGTAAAAACAGCAGCTGTGTTCAGATCATCTGTATTTGTTCAGTAGGTTTGTAGATGGGCTGCACCTCATGATATTTTACATTTAACTGCCTAATTGTTTGGCAGATAAAACGTCAGAAAGTCAATTTCATAAGAGTTATGAAAGTGTATGACTTCAGTTCCACCATCATGTGTCCGGGTCCCTTCTTATGCAAGGGCTCAGCAATGAAATTTATGTAACCCTGATCACAACCCTTGCTGAACTCCAACAAGCTGGTTTTAGTTTCTGGTACGCTTACCACACCTTAAAGGTGTAGCGCACTTGCAGAGGTTGTTATTGCAACCAGTAAGTCCCAGATATCAAATTGTACTCTCGGTTTGCTGTTGGTGTTTGGAAACTGCGGCTCGGCCGCCAGAAGAAATGTTGGCATCGCATGGTTTCCAACACATTCATTATATGTGGCGGCCTGCCATGATTAAAACATCTGCCACCACAAACAGGTTTTCTATTTTTGGAGCTTCATTAGATGTGGTATTGAAATATAAAAACTGGTTTCTGGCAGAGACTTAGCAGCAGAACATCAGGCGCACTGATAGTGAAATTTAATTGTTCATTCTGCCGGGTCTAAAAGTTTGCATTCACTCACAGTAGCTGCTCCTCTCACCTGTCAATCTGATCTGATCAACTTTAAATGGCTCTTTATCATCATAATTATCCATTCTGCGAGTCACAAACAGCTGCTGAGGGAGGAAAGAACACATGTAGAGAGCCACCTGTGCTGCGTTCAAAAACTTCTGACTTTAGCACAGAGTTACTCAAACGGACAAAGAGGAAAAAGGAAAAGGAAAGTTTGCTGCCATTGACCCTTGACCCGGGAGACACTGCATTGTACATTTCTGCAAACCATGGATATGTTACATTTGCATGTTTTATAAAATATTAACATTTCTAAAGTGACGCAAAATGTGAGCTGACTTTGTCTTTGGGAGATGGAGGGGATGGTGTGACACCGAGGCAAGATGCATGTCAAGCTGCAGACTACTGTTTGAGACCACAGTGCAACAAAACTGATTATTTTTTAACGAGTCAGCAGCTTTTTAGCCACCAGTTGTGGGTGTTTATTTAGCAATCTATCATTGTTTTTCCTGTCAAGATAGTGCAACATCGCTGCATTTTTTACTGGGGATTGTGCCACTAAAACCGTCTATTTTAAGCCAGGACATCATCTATTCCTAATCATGACCAAGTGTTTTTTGTGCTTAAATCTCAGCATACGTTAACCACTGTGTTTTTGAAAGATAAAGTGAAAGTTTCATCGTATCTGCCACATAACAACGTACAAATGTAACTTATCTGTGGTTTGCAGAAACGTAAAATGGAATTGGAATATATGGACTTTTTCTGCTGGAAAAAAAAAAAAAATTACTGAAACATGTTAAACCATCAAATTAGTTGTTGGTTCATTTAATAGCTCTAAACAACACGCTTAAAACATTTGTTCATACATGCACACCCAAAGTAGAAAGTCTAAGGATCTCAAGGCCTGAGTTGTTACAGACTGTAGCTAAGAGATCTGATCAGGTAGAAATTTGTTTTAATCATGCCAACTGTGTCACATTGATCCTATCAAACATTAAAGCCTCTGTTACTGATCAGTTTAACTCCTGAATACACTCTGGTGCTCAAGTGTTTGTTGTGGTGTGTCAGAGCTGTAGTTGACCTTTAACACAATATGACACAATAACACATCAGCAGTGTTTCTCACCTTACTCCCCCCCCCTTTGACTACGTTAAATAGTTTTATTTTTACAGCCTGGCTGACTGACACCAGAAATACATTGAGGGCCTGTGAGGAACCCCACTCACTTCTGTCAACATGTGAGTCCGCTGGAAACAATGTTCAAAGGTCAGAGTCCAGGGCAGCTGCCAGGCAGATATGCATTACATGACTGTGGAGAGATTGATCCATTTGGGTGTATTTTCTGTCTCTTTTTTAAGGCCGCTCACCGTTATCATCGTCAGCGCAGTGTAACAGTATATTCTGGCACCATGCAAATTTGGGATCTGAAAAAATATGAACTAAAATACTGACGCAGTACAGTCTCATCTCGCCTGTTTTTCTGTTCAGTGTTTTATAAAGAAGCATATGTGTCTTAAAGAGCATATTTAGGAGAACATTATTAATGGGGCAGATTTTATTTTCAGTTAAAATATGATGTGCATTTTGCACTAAAATCTATAAGAAAACTAAGTAGTTATGTAGGAAGAAAAGCAGGACTCTTCCCCTGTCAGTTTTTCTCTCATTAAAATACTAAAGTGTTAAAATACTTAGTGTGTATATAATTGTGAAGACATTGCTGTATTTTGTGCCGGGATAGTGCCACAAAACGCAGCTGTTTTTTACCGTAACATCGCTGCACTTCCTGTTGGTGTAGCGCCACAAAGAGTGATTGCTTTTACTGAGACATGTTGG